ACAGAACAGAAGCGATGGTTGTCGCAACATGGTATTCCCAAAAGTCATCGCGCGCATTCCTGCGCATTCTTAAACAAAAGAATGTGTGTTGCTTCCTAGGAAGAGCATCGGCCCAGGGTTCTCTTCTAGAGGTTTCCCTCCCCGGGTCGACTTGCGCAGGGCTGGCGAATTTCTTCTCGATGCGAAACACGGTTAAGTGCAATTCGGCGTGGAAAATAATATTTCGCGCGCGCTCGAGGAACATGTGCCCCCTTATAGAATGGATCCTCGAAAAGTTACAGTGTCCGCAGACACACGTTTTCCCTGTAGAAACCCAGACGCGGAGCGGTTCGCGGAGATTCCATGATAAAACGCCGGGTACGGAATTGTGCGCCCGCTCGAGGATGGCGTGTCCCGCGCGCAGGAGACTCGAGGATGTCTCGAGACCCGCGCTTGTTTTGCAGAAGGAAGGTTGGATTTTTGCGTGCCCGCTCCAGGATAGCGCACCCTGCGTGCCTAATGTTTGAGGATGTCTCAGGCGAAACGCTTGTTTCGCAGCGCTTTGAAAGCCTGGGCGGCCCAGAATGCCCAGGTGGTTGTGGGAGTGCGGTCGGACAGTCATTTACAAAGGATGGTGGCCCTGGCCCCTGGCCCTGGGAGCGCGGACGCAGCGTAATTAACAAGGGATTTTGGCCCTGGAGGCGCAATCCCAGCGTAATGTACGAAGGTTCGTGGCCCTGGGAGTGCGGACGCTGTGCAATTCACGAGGGCGCGCGGCCTTGGGAGCGCGGACGCAGCGCAGTTTACGAGGGATCGTGGCCCACGGAGATCGCTTTCCGAGCAGACAAGCTGGTTTGCCGAGGCGGGGTATTTTAGTAGATGCCGTTACATATTTTCTTATATGGTTATAGACCCCTTAGATATGTTCGCATACTTTTTACATGCCTCTTATATGCATATGTAGATAATTATACTCTACGTATTAATTACTTGTTCGCTACCTCTTAGATACCTCTGTAGATACCTCCGTAGATACATACTAGGTACCTCACAGACACCTTCCAGCTCTCGGAGACAAACAAAAACGCCTCCTTCGCGGTGTCTGGGGGGGAGGGCGGGGGGGGGGGGGGCGAGCCGCGTTATTCTGAGCAGAAAAATATGCTTCCCTGGGAGCGCGGTCCCGTGCCGCGTCTCGTGGCACGTTCCTTGACGCGTTCCTGGGCGCGTCCCCTGGCGCGTCGCCTGGCACATTCCCTCGTACGTTCCGTGGCACGTCGCGTGGCGAGTCCCCCTGGCACGTCGCGCGGCGCGTCCCCTGGCACGTCCAGTGGCAAGTCCACTGGCGTTACGTAGCGCGTCCCCTTGGCACGTCCCGCGGTGCGTCCCCATGGTACGTCCCTTGGCACGTCCGCTGGCGCGTGCCTTGGGACGGTCCGCGGCGCGTCCCCTTGGCATGCCCCCCTGGCATCGCCCAATTGCACGTGCAATTGAGGTGCCTGGAAACGTTTCCACGCCTCGCAGTTCTAAGTCCCTTCCGGGTCCGTGGGTCGATCGTGTCAACATGTTCATCAGATGCGACCAAGCAGGCAGGCCTCTCGCGCGCGCATATCGAAACCATTCGAACGCCATTTCGCGCGCGCTGGGGGGGGCACGTTCCCGCTCAAAGAATACCATGCGGGCCACTCGCGCGCGTCGACCACGCGCGCATGTCAGAATCTTTCCAAAACGTTCATCGCCGACACGTGGACACCGTCATCGACAACGGCATGATCAGCATCGGCGCCGTCGTTGGCCTTGCCGTCGTCATAATCACCATCGTCACCAGCATTGCTTCTATCATTTTTGTTGTCCGCCGTTGTCGGCGTCGCCATGATACCGCGCCCGCCCGAGCCATCGATTCGTACTGAAGTGCCCGCGCGTCGGCGCGGCCTGCGAGACGTGGTGGGAAGTGCCCAGCGGTCAGCGCCACCGTGGCCGCGTCGGTCGCGCCACACTAGCTGGCCGGTCTTCGCGCGAGCATGCGCAGGCGAGCGCGGCGACAGCGATGTGCCAGCCAGCGCCAAACAGCTTTTACAATCGCCGTCGCATGTGTTTTGCAAACCAAGTTGTGGGTGGGTCGGTGGGATGATTGCGCGAGCAGTGGGGTTGTCAATTTCGAGTTCGGCAGGGTAGATTCTCTTTTCTAAAACGAGAATAAACTCTACCCCCCCCGCCCCGGGATTACCGGCCCCGCTTTCGCATTGCAATTCACGTATGATTCTCCCCCATCGTCCATCCTAGCTATGAATCCACACCATCCCAGCCAGGCTTGTTTCGCCCCCCCGTCATCCTTTGCAACACATACTATGCGCGCGCCCTCGCTTATCAAAAATCACACGTGTTCAACAATGTGTCGCAAACGTTGGGACGAAGTACCTACGCGCGCTTTGTCGCGCGCGCATGCCGGAATCCTGACAACATTTTTGGTGTTGTAAGGATTTCAAAAGCGAGGGTCTAAATAATAGTTTAAAACGCATGGCTTCGCAACATAGATTTCCAGTTAACAAATAACGTTTGCGCGCTCGTGCGAACTCTTAAGGCAACTATAGGTTGCTCAACATGTTCATAACATGCTACCAAACGGGCTTCGCGCGCGCATGTCGAAATTGTTCGAACACCCTTGCGCGCGTGCCGTCGCGAGAACCCTTTTTGCAAAACATGGGACGGCGTGCGCGCGCGTCGTCGCGCGCGCATGCTCACATCGGTTTAAACTTTTCGTTGTAGTAACGATGTCGAAACCGAGTGTCCAGCACAAATACTAAAACACATGGTTTCGCAACATCATTTTTCAAAAATGCGTGCGTTCCCACTCTTGCAATTATTATGTATAAACAAGTGTTGCGACATGTTCTTGAAGGGCCTCACGCGCCGCATGCCGACATCATTCGCACGCCCTTGCGCGCGTGCTTGGGGGGGGGGCACAATCCGTGTCAAATATTACCATGCGGTTCACTCTCGCGCGTCGGCGGCGCGCGCATGTTGAACTCTTTCCAAAACCTTCATCACTGACGCGGGGACGCCATCATCGTCGTCGGCGTGATCAGCATCGGCGCCCGCACTGGCCGCGCCTTCGTCGTTACAAGCATCGTCACCAGCATCGCTACTGTCATCATCGTGTCTACCGTTGTCGACGTTGCGATGATACCGCGCCCGCCCAAGTCGCCGACTCGCAGTGAAATGCCCGCTGGGATGTGCCCAGGGGTCAGCGCCACCGCGGCCGCGTCGGTCGTGCAAAACTACTTGGCCGCTGCCCGCACGCGTGCTTGGGTAGGCGCGGCCGCAGAGATGCACCAGCCAGCGCCAAGCATGCATCGCAATCGCCACCGCATGGACGTTGCAAACCAAGTTGCGGGTGGGTGGGTGGGATGTTTGCAAGAGCGTGGGATGTGGGAATTCGTTTGGTAAAATCAATTGAACCCAGTATATTACCCCACGTAGAAGGCACCACATAGGGTGCGCCGCGTATATTTCATGGCATAGGTTGCGCAACGTAGGTTGCGCAACTTAGATTGCACCACGGATATTCCATAACAGACATTGCTCCACATAGATGGTACACCATTATAACTAGACGCATTGTGCTGTGCCCACATTGGCAAGATTTGTTACTGCGTTTGAAAGGCCTTCCCTGGGATGTTTGGTTTTGTTTTCGTGCGGATTGCTCGTCAAGGCCCTCCTTGGGTTCGAGGCTTTGCTTCCTTCTTGTATTTGAGGCCTTCCTCGGGTTGCTTGGTCTTTTCCCTTGTGTGTTTTACGATTTGTTGTTTGGTTTGATTGGTTTTGATTTCCAGCGGTGCCCAGCAACACCAAGCAATTACCAAGTAACGCAAGCAACGCCCAGCAATGCCAAGGAACTCCAAGGTGCGCCAAGCAATGCCAAGCGAAACAACGCACTGCAGCGCCAAACAATGCAAAGCAATGCGAAGCCAACCAGCGCAAAGCAACGCCAAGCAAAGCACTGCAACCGCAAAAATATCCCAACAGTGTCAAGCAATGCCGCTCAGGGAACGTTCCCCTAAGTGGTGTCGCGCTGGGCTCATTTCTCAGAATTTGACAGGGCCTGTGCGCAGGCCTCCGAGCCAGCGGGTGGCCGCACAGCAGGCCGATCTGGGGCGCAGACACCAGACGGCATACGATCCACGGAGAGAGCCTGTGCGGTGGGGGCGTTCGTGAAGGATTTGATCCCGGGGAGCTTCCGGCCCTGGAGGATCGGGAGCCTTGAGACGGGGGTCAATTCACACGGGGGTCAGCCACGGCACCGGATCCTGCAGGATCTTACGAAGACCCCCTCTGGCTGACCCGGGTTAGCGAGCCACTCGTGGCCGCGAGGCGGCCGCGCCTATTGGCTGACCCGGGTTTGCGAAGACCTGCGTTGCAGTTTTTTTTCTTGCATTGCAGTTTTTGGTTTCCTGCTGACCCGGGTCTGGATTGACCTGGGTCAGAAGATCCCCGAGAGGGTTGATTCCTTGTCTGATGAGGACGGCGGTAAGATCCAGGGCCAAGCCTCCATGTGTGTTCCATGTGTGTTCCACTGGGTTCAATACCCAATACCCTCAACGTAGCCATCGTGGCTCAAGCCGCCAGCCAGTCGCAGCACCCCCTCCGACGCCAGCCCGTGCGGCCCGTGCTGCCCGTGTGCGGCCGCGGCCCCAGCGTCTCCGAGTCCATGGGCTTGGCGAAGTCCAAGGCCAAAACGGAGGACGATCCGCCTCGGAGAGACTTGCCCCAGTACCAGTTCGACAAGGACTCGGAGGAGGAAAACGTACCCATACCGCTACCCTTCCTTTCCTCGTTTTCCCTTCTTGGGGGCCTCCTGGGAGGCCCTCGCCACCTCTGGATTCGCTTCGAAATGCTGGTCCGGACGCACCCTGGGAGAGCTCCGGGGAGCACCGGTATCGGTACCTTTTGGTCTCCCCAAGGACGGCAACCCCCTGACCAAAGATCAGCAGGTCCACGCGGCCGCGTGCAACGGCGACGTCCAGATGCTGGAGGAGCTCGCCGCGGAGGGGGTGGACCTGAACAAGCCGAGGGACCCAGACGGCCTCCTGCCGATCGACGCGTGCGCGTGGTCTGGCTGCACAAGCGGCGTGATGGCCCTGCTGCGCCTGGGGGCCAGCGCGTCGAAGTCCGTGCAGGCCGTGGCCGGTGCGGCGGCGTGGGGGCACCCGGAGCTCCTGGAGGCGCTGCTGGCGGCCGGCGGCCCCGTCGACCAGGACTTCAGCAACTCGACGCCCCTGCGGTGGGCCGTGGAGATGAGCCACGAGGACTGCGCGGAGATCCTCGTGAGGTGCTCGGGGAGCGTCAGCTCTGCACCTGCACCGATCCTGGCCAGGCCGGCCCTGGGTCCACGGCCGGTGTGCATGCCTTCCTCGCGAAGCCGGGAGGGCGCCTGCACTGAGTTCTGGGCCCAGGATGGGCCTGACCAGGGCCGGTGTAGACGCATCGTTGGCGTCCTGCCAGGTACGGCGCGTGGAAGGCGGAGCCCGAGCAGGATGCCGTGCTGGGGCGGGCGAGGAGGAAGCGCCTGCGCAGCCTCCTCGACGCGATCGCGCAGGTGGATCCCGCGCGCGCCCCCGACTGCGTGGTGGTCCCCTGCTGGAAATCCTGCGAGATTTTGTGAGAGGCGTCTCGCCCAGCTGCAACTGGCGGGCGGGATCAATTGTATGCGTTCCAATTATCGCCGTCGGTGCTGAACGTTGGCTCTGTCTGTGTCTTCACTGTGGCACTCACTCGATGATCGGCGGCGAGCGAGGGGGGAAATGGGAGGGAGAAGGCCTTCTCAGAAGGCGGCGGGACTTCTTGGAAACCCTCGCGCCTTCTGATAATTCCCAACCCTCCTTGGTTGGGCATTCGTTTTGAATAGAGCAGTGTGGTCTCCACTCCCTCCTTCCCTCCTTCCTGCCTCCCTCTTGCCTCCTCCTGTCTTGCCTGCGGGGGGCTGCGATCTGTGAAACTGTCGCCACTTTCGAGGCCTGCTGGGGGGCCCAGCGCAGTGACGCCACGGGCGGATTCAAATTAGACCTCGCCATCCCTGGGGGGCTGCGATCTGTGAAACTGTCGCCACTTTCGAGGCCTGCTGGGGGGCCCAGCACAGTGACGCCACGGGCGGATTCAAATTAGACCTCGCCATCCCTGGGGGGCTGCGATCTGTGAAACTGTCGCCACTTTCGAGGCCTGCTGGGGGGCCCAGCACAGTGACGCCACGGGCGGACCCAAATTAGACCTCGCCATCCCTGGGGGGCTGCGATCTGTGAAACTGTCGCCACTTTCGAGGCCTGCTGGGGGGCCCAGCACAGTGACGCCACGGGCGGATTCAAATTAGACCTCGCCATCCCTGGGGGGCTGCGATCTGTGAAACTGTCGCCACTTTCGAGGCCTGCTGGGGGGCCCAGCACCGTGACGCCACGGGCGGATTCAAATTAGACCTCGCCATCCCTGGGGGGCTGCGATCTGTGAAACTGTCGCCACTTTCGAGGCCTGCTGGGGGGCCCAGCACAGTGACGCGCTACGCGGATCCACGATGGACCTCCGTATCCTTGGGCCGGAGGGGCTGCGGGCCAGGAGGAGGCGGCGGAGTCGGAGGAGGAGGGGGCGAATGAGGAGCAGGACGTTCGCCGCTTGCCTGGGACGTCGTCGGCGTTGTCGCCGCCGCCGTCGTCGTCATCGTCGTCGTCGGCGTTTTGCACATCATTTGCAGGGGGCGAAGTGGAAAGAAACAGCTTGCTCTCCACGAGACGCCCCTCATGCCTCGTGAGTTGCTTTCAGGCCCTCGATCACATCATCCTCGGACCGTTATTGTTTTTGGGACCTCGCCGCAGATTCAAGTTAGACCTCGCCATCTCTCGGGGGCTGCGATCTGAGATCCCCGCCTTCGAAGTGGCTAGCTCAGGGATTGTAGCGAATCAGCTTTATCTAGTCCTTGTCCTGTAGCCAGTGTCCTGCGAGTCTCCCGAATTCCGCCTGCAGACATATGCAACCCTCGCTCCGCCATCGCCCCCCTTCCAAAGTGTCCTAAACTATTTGCGCCCCGCGTTTGTGCAGGGGTTGGGTACGTCGCCAGTGTATTTTTTCTGTCTTCGGGGAATGCTTAGAAAACTTGTCAGAAAGCCGGGGGACTTCCGAGCCTTCTGAGAAGGCCTCTTCCTTCTCACTTCCCCCCTCGCTCGCGGCCGAGAAGAAGGAAAGTCGTCACTCGAAGAAACAAACATGTGCAGATCCGCGCGGATTTCTCTGATAGGCGCTGGCCCCGAGCGGCAGATCTCCACCTCGCCTACAGTGGCAGCGGGCTGCGAGACGCGGCGTGGGGCAGTTTTCGCCCGAGGTCGGTGCTCCGAGGCCCTTGGGCTGCTCTGCGCGGTCCGTGATTTTCCTGGGGCCGGGCGCGTGGCCGGCCTGGTGCTGCAGCTCTCCCAGGAGTCGGTGCGCCCGCCCAAAATGGCTTCCCAGAGGGGGCAGAGGTGCAGGTCTACGATTCTGATTTTCACTCGTATCGGCATTCGCATTCCTATTGTTGTCATCGTTATTATTTTATGTGGTAAAGTTGCGCCCCGGTGCCATGCTCGGGAAGGGAAGGGCCAGCGGCATTGAGTCTCTTTGAGGAATGGTGTCCAGTGCAAGTTTTGGGCCCCGAACAGTTCGTCATTGCAATGTGGAGGTGGAAGGTATGCCGTTTAAGCTATGCGGTGTGCAGCTAGGCGATGCGAACCGGAGGCGGGACCATGTGAAAGCAGGGGGTGTAAGTTATGTGATGCTTGCTCTTTCGTGCAAGATTTGCGGTGTGAGCTATGCGATGTAAGCTATGTTGTGCAAGCTACGTGGTGAAAAGCGATGTCGGGTAAACTCAGAGCACCCGCCCATGAGGCGGTGCGAGTGGCAACGTGGCGCTACCTCGGCACACAGTGGAGGTCGGTCCACAAGGAGCCTTCCACAAGAGACCCAGCCCGGAGATCCCAGGGCGCCCCTGGAGTCTTGGTGTGGGAACTTCGCTTGCCACAGCAGAACCATCAGAGCCCACGGAACCCGGGGCACCCCGGAGGCAGGCAGGGACATTGGGCGCAAGAGGACCATTCCCAAAATTGAATCTAGGCCCCAAACCACCAGTTATGCTGGAGTCGCCCCAGCCATTTTTTGATCAGCTCCAACGAATGTGCTCCTAAGGGGGACATTCCTATCATAAGGCAGGGTGTTTCTCTTGGCACGAGTCTCCCCTGCACCCGCCCCGCGTTTGCGCAGGGGTTGGGTACGTCGCCAGTGTTTTTACCTAACAGTTTTTGCTGATAGGTTTCTAGTGGGGTCAAAAGAGAGCAGCAGATGACTCCACAGGGTGGTCGGGGCGGCATCCGGGGAGCTGTGTCCGAACTCGTGTCCGAATTCATTTTTATTGCAAAAAGTCACACGCTTCGTGCTCTTCGACCTCCCAGAACTCCATTCCCGGGCGACATTCTGAATGCCCAGAGCCAACTGTAGGCCACTTCGTGGTCTTCGAGTTCCCAGAACTCCATTCCCGGGCCACATTTTGGATGCCCGGAGCCAACTGTAGGCCACTTCGTGGCCTTCGAGTTCCCAGAACTCCATTCCCGGGCCACATTTTGAATGCCCGGAGCCAACTGCAGGCCACTTCGTGCTCTTCCACTTCCCAGAACTCCATTCCTGGGCATGATTTTGAATGCCCGGGGCCAATTGTAAGCCACTTCGTGTTCTTCTAGTTCCCAGAATTCCACTCCTGGGCCACATTTTGACTGCTGAGGCAGGCTGATGCTGCGGCCGAGGCAGGCTGAGGCTGAGGCAGGCTGAGGCCGAGGCCGAGGCTGAAGGCAGACTGAGGCTGAGGCTGAAGCAGACTGAGGCTGAGGCTGAGGCAGGCTGAGGCTGAGGCTGAGGCAGGCTGATGCTGAGGCAGGCTGAGGCTGAGGCTGAGGCTGATGCAGGCTGAGGCTGAGGCAGGCTGAGGCTGAGGCCGAGGCTGAAGGCTGAGAGGCTGAGGCTGAGGCTGAGGCAGGCTGAGGCTGAGGCAGGCTGAGGCTGAGGCTGAGGCAGGCTGAGGCTGAGGCTGTGACTGCGACTGCCGTTGCCACTGCGACTGTCATCGCGAATGCGACTACGACTGCGAGAACAGCAGAATTCTACAACTGGATTCTCATCTGAATCTTAAGGGGAATGCTTCCAGATATGCTCCTACACATCGCTGTTAGGTTGCTTTGCCGGGATAATTTACCTAACAGCGTTTGCTGATAGGTTTCTAGTAGGCTCAAAAGAGAGCAGCAGATGACTCCACAGGGGGGTCGGGGCGGCATCCGGGGAGCTGTGTCCGAACTCGTGTCCGAACTCGTTTTTCGCAAAACAGTCACACACTTCGTGCTCTTCGACCTCCCAGAACTCCATTCCCGGGCCACATTTGAATGCCCGGAGCCAACTGTAGGCCACTTCGTGCTCTTCGAGTTCCCAGAACTCCATTCCCGGGCCACATTTTGAATGCCCGGAGCCAACTGTAGGCCACTTCGTGGTCTTCGAGTTCCCAGAACTCCATTCCTGGGCATGATTTTGAATGCCCGGAGCCAACTGTAGGCCACTTCGTGTTCTTCGAGTTCCCAGAACTCCATTCCCGGGCCACATTTTGAATGCTGAGGCAGGCTGATGCTGAGGCTGAGGCAGGCTGAGGCTGAGGCAGGCTGAGGCTGAGGCCGAGGCTGAAGGCAGACTGAGGCTGAGGCTGAAGCAGGCTGAGGCTGAGGCTGAGGCAGGCTGAGGCTGAGGCTGAGGCAGGCTGATGCTGAGGCAGGCTGAGGCTGAGGCTGAGGCTGATGCAGGCTGAGGCTGAGGCAGGCTGAGGCTGAGGCCGAGGCTGAAGGCAGACTGAGGCTGAGGCTGAAGCAGGCTGAGGCTGAGGCTGAGGCAGGCTGAGGCTGAGGCAGGCTGAGGCTGAGGCTGAGGCAGGCTGAGGCTGAGGCTGTGACTGCGACTGCCGTTGCCACTGCGACTGTCATCGCGAATGCGACTACGACTGCGAGAACAGCAGAATTCTACAACTGGATTCTCATCTGAATCTTAAGGGGAATGCTTCCAGATATGCTCCTACACATCGCTGTTAGGTTGCCCTGCCGGGATAATTTTGTCTTCGGGGAATGCTTAGAAAACTTGTCAGAAAGCCGGGGGACTTCCGAGCCTTCTGAGAAGGCCTTCTCCTTCTCACTTCCCCCCTCGCTCGCAGGCGAGAAGAAGGAAAGTCTCTCTTGGCACGAGCCTCCCCTGCACCCGCCCCCGGCGCAGGGGGCGCCCGCGCGGCGCCCGCGGGGCGCCACACGGGGCGGGCGAGCGCGGCGCAGCCTCGGCACTGCCCCCCCCCCTTGGGCGCGGGGCGCGCCCCCGCGAGGCGCCCCTGCGAGGCGGCACGGGCCTGCGGCGTGGCGGAAGCCCGCCGTGCCCAGCCGCTTCTAGGGGAACAAAACATGACATAAGCATAAAAACTGTGAGGTCCGCGGGGATTTCTCGGATCGGCGCTGGACCCCCCTCCCTGGCGCGCGGAGCGCGCCAGGGGCGGCGCCGGAGGCGCCGCCGGGGGGCCCCAGCGCCGACCCGAGAAATCCCCCAACAGTGACACGTCGATTAGTGAATTGTCCGTCTTCGGTTCTCGAGAGGGCGCCGTGGTCGTCATTTTCCAGGCCTGCGCCCGCCAGGTTTGGGCCTCGGGTCGTTTTCACTAAACCACGTTTTACTACAGGGGGGTCTGTCCATCCCCGAGCGTGGCGAAAGCCCGCCGTGCCCAGCCGTTTCGGCAAGGAGAATGTCTGCCAACGTGGACCCCGGCCAGCAAGTGATGGCACTGTGGATGCGTAGGCTCTGTGTTGCAAGCTTTTTAAGTCGGGCACGTCCCTCCACAGGAGGAATATCCGAAAGATAGGCAATGCATGATCTGGGGACGATTTGTGGAGCATCTTTGACAATTGTTTAATTGTTGTTGATCTTTTCGTCCAAAGTCCGCCTGTAGGGAGACACGCCCGACCTAACGAAAGCTATGTGGTGCAAGCCCATCGGAAGCCGAAAGGCGAGACAGCCGAAGCCCTCATTGCTTGTCCTTCGGTTTGGGACGGATGAGGGCTGATCGGGAGCGTCCTTAGGAGGCTCGAAGCCACTTGGAGCCGTCTTGGGGCGGCATTGGGGCCTATTGAAGGCATGTTGGACGCCATCTTGGGATTTCCTGTGCGATCTTGGAGGCCGTACCCGGGGCCCTCTTGGAGCCCTCTTGGGCCACCTTGGACGCTCCGACCCGCGCGGCGACCCCCCTGCCAGACCCAGGCAGAGCGGGCGAGGCAAACCGCTCTCCCCGAAGGCGAAGGAGGAGGAGGATGGAACGACTGACTCCCCAGACTGCCCGCGCCCAATGGGCCTGGCATCGCTCGGACGTGTGCACTTCTTTCTCGGCGAGGACCTTCGAGGAGCATCCTCGACCATCTGGCGAAAAAACCACGCACGAAACCCCCCAAAAAAGCACAGGGAATGGACGTCCGAGCGATGGCCAGTTGGCCGGTGGGATCGCACGGGTCTGCTGCAGCTCCCGTGGGGCGGCCGTGGGCGCCTCGTGGGCGCCCCCGCGCGCTGCCTGGGGCCTGCCGCGGCTGCGCCTCGGTGGGCGCCTCGCGGGCGCCCCGCGGCGCTGCCTCGTTGCGTGCCGCGGCTGCGCCTCGGCGGGCGCCTCGGTGGGCGCCTCGGTGGGCGCGCCGCCTGCCGGGCGATGCTGCCAAGGCTCGGCCCGGTGGGCCGGCGCGGGCCCCCCTTGGTGGCGTCTGCCGCGCTTTCGGTCGGCGGGCGGCCTAGTGGGCACCGAGCGGGCGCCTAGTGGGCGCCTCGCGGCGGTTGCACTCCTCCGCCTCCTCCTGCTCCTCCTCCTACATTGCTGCCGCACCATGGCTTAAAACACCTTTGCTCACACCCCAGAGCTCACTCGGCAAAACCTGTCCCACACAGCTCACGATGCGTGCTTGCACCACACCCAGCTTGCACCACGTGGCTTACACCGCGTTGCTTACGCCATGCAGATTGCACCACGCATAGTTTGCACCACGCTGGTTGCAGCGTGCGTAGCTTGCACCACGTACCTTGCAGACCCAGAGTGCACGAGATCACTGCTTGGAGTCCACGCCGGCAAGCACGAGTGCAAGTGCCAGGATGCAACGGCTCGTGATGATACAGCGTGAGAAAGTCTCAAGCTAATCGCCGAGGCCGCCTTGCCGACGCCCTGATGCGACAAAAGAAGATAAGGAGGGAACATGAGGATGAGGGGGGATGAGGGACGAGAAGAGGTCGTCCGTTCGGGGGACCACGAAAAGATCTGCAGGTTTCAGGCGGGGGAAGGGTGGGGGATACATATTGCTACCCGCAGCCCGAAGCCGGGGCAGCAGTAGAAGCAATCACCCTACGAACACGACGCCGATCACCACAACGACGGCAATCATGGTGACGAAGGCAACGACCACTACTACTACTACTACTACTACTACTACTACTACTACTACTACTATTACTACTACTACTACTACTACTACTACTACTACGACGACGACGACGACGACGACGACGACGACGACGACGACGACGACGATTACTTTACTACTACTACTACTACTACTACGACTACTACTACTACTACTACTACTACTACTACTGATAGTACTAGCACGACTACGACTACTACTACTACTACTACTACTACTACTACTACTACTACTACTACTACCTACGACGACGACTACTACTACTACTACTACGACTACTACTACGACTACTGCTACTACTACTACTACTACTACTACTACTACCTACGACGACTACTACTACTACTACTACTATGACTACTACACGACTACTGCTACTACTGACTACTATTACTGACTACTACTACTACTACTACTACTTACTAC